AATAAATTAATCCCAAAGGACTCCACAACCACAGGCGACTGGTAACAGGATTTATACATTTATTAGATCAAACCAGTAGTGCAGGTCAAGAGCAACAGATAAATTACCAGTAACTGACAAATGTGCAGTGAGCCTGTGAAAGAAGCTGGTAGTTTCAGACCATTTCCTGATTGATGGACAGGTGCCTACAATGCACACAACAGCCATCACAGCTGGCACCTCAAAGCATCTGAGACGGACCAAGGACTGTGAAACGCTCTGACTGCAAACTGCAAAGCTCAGAGACCTCTGTAACCCAGCCTTACTTCAATCAGCTTCCACACAAAACTGGAGCACGTGAGAAAATCCACTGTTGCCTCTGGCAATGTATTTCAGCAATTACTTACCCTCATGGTTAAAGCTTTGCTTACTTCCAGTCTGAATCGGTGTGACATCATTTGTCAGCCACACACATCATGCTGTTATCTAAGGTGGGTTCTCTGCATGGGGACCCACAGACTGTCACCAGACCATCCCTGCCTCTCTGTGGGGATAATACCTCCCTGGGACAGGGCTTGAATGACTGCCTGACCAGACCACCTTCTAGCACCCCTTGCTCCCTCAGGACTACTCCTTCCTGCATTACACGCAGCAATCACTGCCCAACGCACTGGAGGAAGCATTCTTGCTTTGCCAGTATTAAAGGACATGTGTGTATGTGTGTGGCTGGTGGGGGGTGGCAAGGGAAGGGTAACAGTGAGGATTAAGGATGGTGGAAGTTTGGCTGCATGGACATAAGTGTCTACCCACAGCACATACTTTCCAGAACGGGATGCAGCTGTTTTCAAGCATCTGCACAATCCACACCAACATCCTACTTGGTCTGGGCCCACACTCATCTCCATGTAACATTCCCCAGAACAGGGCCAAACACCCTGAAAATCCAAAATGCTCTTAGCTTCAATGGACCTGCAACCAGATTCTTGTAGGCAAGATTAACAAGATTTGCCTTTACCTCCTTCACTTAGATCAACTGGTACAAAATTTGTTAGTCTCCAGATCTAATGCAGATGGGTAGCACCTAGCTGGCGTCCATTGAGGCAACAGTGGGAAGAATTGCTCAGGATTAGTTAAAAGTGCTTCCACACTCTCTGTGGGTTCTGATGACTGCACCAGCTTGGTTAGCATATACGGATATCACAACAGGCAGTCCTTTTGGCCTTTTGGTCTTCAAACCCAACAACTATTTGTCATAGCTTTAAAAAGGGAGTTCTACCAAGAAACTTAAACCACACTCTGAGATACCTGTTTCCTCATCCACCTTTCAGGGTCTCTCACATTCTGAACAGATTTTAAAACCTGAACCAACTGAAAAATAGATTAGAAGGCAGGTGGCAAGAAACCTAATTATTCTCCTCTATACATGGCTTTTGTGTGGATTTATAAAACATCTGTGAGTGTTCCATAGGCAGCCATCCAAAGTGCTCTGAAGAAGCCAACCTGGTTCACCAAGGCTACTGCTTCTGCGCCTCTGCAGGAACACATGTGATGCTGTTGGACACCGCTCTTACTCAGGGGGTGACTTCTGTGCACCTGAAATAATAAACCTTGTTCCATGGGGCATGCAGTCCTTTCTCTTGGACACGCCACCAGTTACCTATAGTGTTTTCTGATGGGAGTTATAAACACGCATCTTTAAACTACAAAATGCTTACCTAAGTGGTTAAGATCCTGTGTAACAATGGTGTACTTCATTGGCATAATTGCCTTTTGATGCTGCCTAAGTATACATTAATTTCAAGCTTGCTTTTATTAGAGGACAAATTTCCTTGAAACAGTTTAGACAAAAAGAACTAAGAGGCAATATTGCAATATAGTTTAGGCCAGATTTTGGTAAATTCCTTCCAGCCTAAATCACTAGAAGTCTTACAAAACAAATCTATGTCTTGTACTTAATGCAGGCTGCCAACGTCTAAAGATATAAAAAAATCTTAGAATCTAATTGATTTTTAAACCTACTTTTTACAGTTATTCCAGCATGAAAGTACACAATAACTTCCCAAGGCCAAACTTTTATTATCATCCACCCATAAATCAGACATCCATGACGGTTTGTAAATGATCATTAAGATAAAAATTAAAACCAAATTTCAGTAAGAAAACATTCTTTTTTTTTTAAAGTTACTTCTCAACAGGCACACACTATGAAATCTAAAGCAATATAACACATACTTTTTTCTGGAACTCTTCGATCATTAAGTTGTTAAGCTACAAGGAACTAAAGCAACATATATCCAAATACTGCAGTATATAAAGCACACAGGAAAGCACACTTTTAAAAAGGTACTGTGAATATTTTGAACACAATCAAGTTGAAATGGTCTGTAACATCACAGAGAAGGGCAATGCTCTAAGTTACTCAAGTGGAAAATAATTTTTAAATCTGTAGCAAGTTGGTGCACCACATACACTGATGTTTGCTTTTATTTCTTGAGTATCGCATTCTTGAGTGTGGAAAATGAAGCTAAGTTAATAATTTTAATTCCCTACCCACCACTATCAGCTTTAAGTACTGTATCAGAAGTATTATTGCATCAAAACAGTAATTACTAAAGCTTCAAAATCTGACAAGCAAGATGTGGGTAAACTGTCACCTCTTTGAGACCTATTCATCTGCTCCATAGACAGACAAAAAAAGGCCAAATTCTCTTTGACAACATGTTACTAAAACACTATTGGGTTTTCAATACCTAAAAGCACTTACCTTCCATGGCTTGTACAGAAAGCTTTGTTTAATTAAATATTTGTAGCATTTCCTACAGGTTGACTAGGAAATACTTGAGATAAAATATTGTTAGCAAAAGACAAATGCAACTACTGCAGTCCAAGAAAAGGCAGTTTTTTACAGCTGATCAGCATTCACACAAATACACACACAGAACAGGGAACCTTCGGGGAAAAAAATAATATTCTCATACCACTGCAATTCCATGTTTAAAGGTCTGAATAACATCGGACTGATTTCTGAACACAAATGTAAGCCCTCACTTTCCAAGAGGGAAATGGGGGGTGGGTGAAGGAAGGAGAAGAGGGAGACTCACAGGGAAAGCACTCCCATTTGACTTCAGTGGACTTGAGAACAAGACCCAAGCACAGTGTGGATACAGAAGCTGTAAACAAATCTACCTACAGCCTGGCAAAGATGTAAATAACAAAGGTAGTAACACAACCTAACAGATGTTTTCTAGGCCCGTAAGACCATGAATGACAAAAGTAAATAATAACCAGCTCAGCTCCCAAACAAATGGAACTTGCAATCCTTCCACTACTTTAAGAACTCGAGAAAAGTTTTAATAGTTGTTTTCCAGATCACCAGCACATAAAGGAGTATAGCGCATGCTGAGAAAATAGAAGGCACAGTAGGAAAAACACTTCTTTTAGATGCAGGGGTGAGAAAAGCAAGCCCATCCTCAACCAGCCAATACTTGTTCCCATGCCACTGTAGCTTTTGAGACACTATTGCAAACCATATTGGGAACAGATCTGGGTAAATATAATGCTTCATATCTTTTGCGGGGGTAGCTAGAGGAAGATGTGGTGACTTGGTTATATTTAACCCACAAAAGCTCCCAGATCTATTTACCGTGCAGCCCCACAAACAGATGCACCACCACAAGCGAGGAGGTGGCGTGTGGGCTGCCAAGACTACCTCCACCACAGGAAGCTGACCTGAGGCTGCAGCTGATCTGTGCCACAATTAGTCTTCCTACTTTTCTAATCATGATAATATAACAAAACAAGCTTTTATTCATTTTAGGGAACAGCACCCTAGAGGAAACATTACATCTCCCTTACTCAGTACAACTGTTTCTTCAACCAAGAGCAGGCTTGAAATTCAGTATGTTTTAGACTTAACAAGCATCAGGCACAATAGAAGTCAAATGGACAGTACAATAAAGTCAACAGCTAAAGCTCTGCTTCAGCACACATCTCAGTTCAAGGTCAACCCTGAATTAATTCACCATTAACTTGATTTTGGTTTTAACCATGACATACTAGGGACACCTTTTGTTCAGCTTACCTGTTGACTTGCCTGGGATAGGTGAAAACTCCATAGTTTAAGGACTGAATTCACTAGATACTTTTCACATTAAGAGAATGAAAAGCAGAGATTCCCAGCAGCATCTGACGGGCAACACCAGCAACTGCCTTACCCACTATTTTGCCATACTTCATGAAAAGTGGAATGCAGGGAAGGAACAAACAAACTTAAGGGGACAACAGTTCCCAATGTAAATCAAACAGCAGGATTTTAAGGTGTAGCAAAGCCCAGCCAAACTCCTCTCCCTCCAAGGTAAGCTGGTGGAAAGAAGAAAGCACAGCAGTCCAACACAGGAGACCTGCTGCCTGGTCCCAGCTCTTTCACTGCTTAAGATGATGACACAGCAAGTCAAGCCACCTCAGCTCTTCAGATCAGCTTCCCTTCAGTAAAATGGGGAATAATACTTCATGTTAAAGTGTTGGAGACCTACAGATGCTCTGCTATATTAGATGCATTATATGAGGAAGCACTGGTTCCTCCCACATCCCAAGCCTAAATAAGGCTGTTTTACACAGAAAAGGACTACAAACCTCTTACACAACCATCTGCTTTAAAGATTCAAGAAAGTGGCCCAAGTACAAAGCAGGGTTGGTAGCCAGGAAGGGGGAGAAGGAATGTCATTGTTTATGTGATGCTTGAATTCCACACAGAGGGAAACTTACCTTTACTATTAAATTAATAACACAATCCCATTATTGTGTTACATTGATTGACACTGTTATTGTCTCTTTCTTTGTCAGTTAGATTTCTTGTTGTTATAACAGCAGCAACAACGAAATCTGTGACTGGATCCCACAACTACAGCTGTCAAACATTTCCACAAGAAAATCAGTCTCAAAACACCAACTGTACAGAACAAGAAATCAACTGCAGTCAACTGCAAAGTAGGATTTACCATGGAGTCCCCCACATCTCTTACCTCGAGCATAGGGCGGGCACTGTCGTGAATTGAAAGAATGTGCGTAATGTTATTCTTACTCAATTGTTCTACATCTCGGGCATCTGCAATAAAGGGAAAAAAGGAAGAGAATTTCTTTAATCTCTTGAAATAGTGCGCTCACCTTTCCCTTGTGCATGTTGAAAATCACTTATCATTGGTACATTTATTTTTGAAGCTTCATAAAGCAAAACCCCAAATGCAGCTGTTCTAGAACACCACCATCAGAGTGGGTAACGGGAAGACACACTTCTATACTCCAAAACAAATTATCTACTATATAAAGAACAAGCTTAAGTGACTCAGGAATGTGTTCTTAAGTCAGAAGTTTCATGTATTTTGCATCTGAAATATAAGTCTGTGTGTGCCTGTGTGCAGGTGATAGCCATCTGAACAAGCAGTCAGAGCTGTACAAGAAGCAGCTTACCTCCTCTCTACCCACAAATTCCCCTTCAGGAGATCTATTGCACTTGGGAGATAGACCTTGTCATATCCAGGTCTGAGAAGGGAAGCCAAACTGTACTAATGGGCAAGCCAAAACAAGAACTAGATTCTTCCTTCCTGTGGACTAGCAGGGAAAAAATGTGCATTTAGTCAATATATACCGTGATTTTAAGTCTAAAGAGAAACAGAGACAAAGATAATGAATGTATGAAAAAGCAAAACACTACAGCAAAGAAGTGCAGTTGTGAAAAGGTGGTTCCTAGACCTGTAACCAAGGGGTTTCAAACATTCAAAACTGGAAAGCAGACTGGGGTGACTGAAAATTTGATGCTAGATATTGAGAAAGCATAGGTTTGTTTCTATAGGAAAGAAGGTAAAATAGATTATCTGTCATCAGCGAGCAATTTTCCCCATATTAAACCATCAGCATGCCAGAAGATGATATCAAAGAACCACTAATACAGGTAAAACTTTGTGTTCAGTTACTTTTGACCTTTTGCCTGAGAATGGCACAGCACACCATGGCAATTACAGCAGTGGTTTTGTGATGTGAACACCTGCCTTCCAAATCTGCCCATACAATCTGTTCGCATTAGCCTGGTTGCACACAAAAAAAGAGCACTGACCACAAAGGTTTCAAACCAGCTCTCTCTAGGTACAAAAATAACAATATCACCTGTACATTCTTTATGTACATACGAGAGTTCAATTAGCATCTCTTGCTTCATCTTATTCCACTCTACTATAAAGTTTCAATGCCTTTTCTACACCAAAGAGGAATTGGGCATTTGATTATAGGGCCCCATAGACAACATCCACATGAGCACAATAACAGGCAATAAAATATAAACCTAATCCAAATATGAAAGCTTCTCTAAGGCTAATAAAATGGAGAGTAGAGTCAAAACTGCATTGATTTCACTTGCTACTGGTCAAGCCTGCAGGATCAACACAGATGCCTAATCCTTCAGGACAGAATTAAGACAAATTCCATCTGAAACAGAATTAAGGTCTAGCTTCAAAGAACAATGAAAATTTACTAAAAATCTCAAGAGTGAGCATTTCAAAGAAGAAACACTCATGTTTGCCAGGCGAGGTCTTCTAATCTGACCTTCAGATTTACTAACAGTTCATAGGATACTCCTGATTCCTCAAGCAAGGAAAGGGTTTAGAAGCCCAGAAGCCAGCCTAAGTGTCCCTAAAAAATGCTTTCTGTTCTCCAAAGGCTAAGGGCAGATTTCAGAGTCTGCTGGCTGGAACTCACAGTGTTGATGCATACCTAGCACAACAAGACCCCAAGCTCTGATTATGACTCACATAGTAAGAAATGGATCGGACACAAGGCAAACAGCTTTAAAAGAGGATATGATCCAAATTAAATGTTGACTGCTTTGAACCAGTCTTGAAAGGCCATTAGACACAGTACAACTCAAAAGGACTAAAAAAGTTTTAGTTCTTTGGTTAACCAAGGACTTAGGCAAAAGGAATTTCAACAAATCAAAACTAAACAGTAAGACAGTGATATTCCAGATATTCCTAGAAACAAGCTAGAAATGGCTATCCCAGACCTACACCCCAGGGTAATCAGCAGGTCCTCAATATATTTAGGAAACCACCATTCAAATTGCAAAAGTAGAGGATAAAAAGCTTCACAGCCAATGACTGCATTATCTGGATGTAAAGTTTAAACAGTTTACAAAGGGGAAATTCCCCTGCTTCCCCTGGTACCTGCCGTAAGTCTCTACAGATACTGCAGACAGAGCTATTTAAACAGCAGTGCAAATAAGGTATCCTGTCACTCATGGTCTCATACCATTAATTAAAAAAAAAATTAAGGGGTAATGTAAAGGACCACCAAAAGCCAGGTGAATCACCATTACCACAGCAATTCTAACTTATTTACTGTAGCACAGTGCTGTACAACCACATGCAGGCTCACATTTTGAAATCACCACGTGAAACACCTTTTTTCCAAATTTAAAGATGAAAGAAGCCTATAGAAGTCCATCTTGTGCATCCCTAAAGGGTCCCTCAAATGTGGTATTACTCGTCATAGTAGGTTACTTAATATTCTGTTTCATACAGTGCAATGCTTCTCAGCTGATGTGGACTTCGAGGAAAGCTTTCAGGAATCTCTCTCCTCACACAAAAGGATACAATTCGCCCTGGGGAAGTCTTCCCCTCTCCTTCCCACACCCCTATTTATCTTCTCTTCCCTCAGTTTCATCCTATGACTCCTAGCTTAACGCCTACTCACATGCAGAGAGCTCCAAACACTTAATTGCAATAGCAATGGCAAAGTCATCAAAATGGGACAAGGGTGGGTGTGTGTGTCAGAATTTGTTTTCCTGCAGCTCTGGGAAGCCTTACTGTGCAGCTGGGGAGCAAATCACCTAGCACACTGTGCTTCCATCCCCAATATCCAAATGGGAGATGATACTGGTCCAACCACTCCTATTAATACACATTAATGACTAAAGAATTCCAATACTAGGGTGAATTGATGATGAAGTCTCAGATGTACATATGTCTGTTCTCTCTTACTTTAGTATTTAAGAACCTCCGTAGAAGTGCATGGTGAGGAATAAAGTCTTCTTCCTTTGTGGAGTTAGATGGGAAGAAACAGCTGTAGAGTCTTTTCCATCTCTACTGCTAACAAAACACAAAAGCATCCTGCCAGCAACAGAGGGGGAAAAGAAAGGATTACAGTGCTATGGGCCTGGATCCACAACATTTAACTCCAACTGAACTGTGAATTTAGACGATTAAATGCCTCCAGAAAATAACTGAGTTTATTTTCATCACCTTTCCTCCCATTAGCCAGCTACCCCAAACTGAAGACATCCTCCCTTCTTCCTCCTCCAAAGTCCAAATTTCTGACTTTGACATCCTCCCTTCTTCCTCCTCCAAAGTCCGAATTTCTGACTTTATTCTTAGTCTGAAAAGGCAGACGTGCTCCTATACCACAGTAAGCTAGCAAGTATAAAATATTAGGTTATGTATGCAAAAAGAAGGTAAGTGCTTAGAGAAGGTAAGTCAGCCTAGTACATACAACAGTGTTAAGTCTCAGTCTGCAGATGTACAGAGTCTACAGTTTCATCATCACCAGACTTTTTTTAAACAAAGCAACTTTTTGTCTACACTTTATTTTCTGCTTTGGAGAGAACCAGAGATATACACCTAAAGGAGAACCTCCTCTCCAGTGGTTCAGAGCCACTTCACACTATGTTCTAATACATATTCTGTCACATCCTCTCAGAAGGGGCTTTTTGGAGAGTTAGAAAGGTGAGGAAAAGGGTCCAATACTTTGTTTAATGAGAGTACCTATAAAATGTCTTCCTTCAAAAGATTAATCTGAAAAAGCAAATGGTATTTTTACCCACTCCTGTTTTCAGTATCTGGAATAAAGCCTTAGAAAAGAGACCTTTTCCCAAAAAAACCTAAGCAGCTGATAACAGGAAATAATTGAATCTAGAAACACAGCAGAACCACTTGGTGGGCACTGTCTTTTTATACGCTTAGTAATGGGAAGGACAGAAACTTCCCCAAGACTCTCCAGCTCATCCACAGCAACAATGGACTCTTTGGGGGGAATTAGACCTCATATTGTGGCTTTCCGCTTCAAATCAAAAAGCCCCCAAATATTCCATTGGAAAAACCTGAATCTTCCAAATATGATTAAAAGCAAGGAAGGACACAAGCTCTTTAATATTGAAGGTAGAAACACTCTTGGGTCTCTGGTGCTTGCTACTGCTATACCTTTTGGTTTGGAACCAAACAAGCCCTCATTTAGAACCTCCTATCAGAATAAATAGTATTTTTTCTATCTCTAAAAAGCCCCGTCATATCAGTCTCTTAAGGAACAAAGCACTTATTTGCATCATGAGCACAGGTGCCTTTCAAATGGTATTGGGTTTGCAGTGCAGAAGACACATGGGCATGCAATCCCACAATAAATTCTTTGTCTTTTGAGAGGATTGAATTTCATTTGTAAGGTACAACCGGAACAAACCAAAACTTCCCCCAAACTAGAGGCAGAAAGAAGAGTT